GCTTTTTCCCTAGGCCTCAAACTAGAAATCTTCCTTCACCTGTCTGCAGGAGCAACTGCAGGCACACTTCAGTCCCTCATTTAAGAAAGGTTTAGGTTTTAGTCTGTCTCTAACAAATGGTGTTATGTGGACAAATTGGACAGGAAGGAGTTGCCATCTTCTTTTCATAAAAGGGATAGATCCTCCATGATGAGGTTTCTCCTCCCTCTTCCATGACATGAAAGTAACTGGCTGCTCTTTCCCCCCCAGGAAAGCATGTGGTCAATCTAGAACCCCCTCAAAAGGGTCAGTTCTTCATATTTTTATTACTGTATCAAATCCTGGCTTTGTACAATCCATCAGAACTGGCAGCCCTGCAACATTCTTCATCATTTTTCAAGAAAACCCATCCCCAGATACCAAGGATTTCTTACCTTTAAGTTTCTTAACAAAGAAACTGAGAAAATCAACCACTGGATACAAATATAATCAATAGCTGACATCGTTTCCCATCAGTCACAGGGAAAAAAATACACTTAGAGGTTTAATATTTCTCATACCAATCTCCACCATTCATTGGCCCTCTCCACTTCACAATACCAGAATTTTTCCAACAAGAGAAGTCTTTCTTGGTGGCTACATGAAGATTAGAAACTAGAAAAGATTAAGAAGTATTTACTGCCATTGTTACCTCATCCCAGCTGTCCAGTAACCCAGCCCTAGGCTGCAGTGAAAATCAAGGGCCACCTTTGCTCTCTGACAGTACAAAGAAGAAAAAGTCATGTCACATCTATGCAAGTTGGCCCCTAATCCATTATTGTGCTGATCCTTCTTTACCAAAATTCAATATCAGGTCCATGGATCAGTGCACACCTCCAAAGGCTGCTCAGAGAACCTCTGTCTAAAACTGTTTTGGGATAGCACTGGGTTCAATGCTGCTATGTCTAATCCTAACCAGCCAGTGATTAAAGAGAATTGCATGGCTGTGTGAACAAGCAGAACAGACTTGCACAAGTACATGTGTCATGCATAATTTCAGCATATAAAGTTATACATTAAGGAATTAAGGCTTTCATTGAAACAATACCCTCACTCAGAAGGGAGCATTTCCCTCTTCTAGCTCATGATGGATTTAGAGCTGAGCTCTCAGGGCAGTGCTAACACACCCTGTCTGTACAGGAGAAGGCTCTGCCAAGCAGGCACTTGCACTCCTGCAGTTAAAAGATGGCCAGTCCTTTAAGAGCAGCACTAAGGAAAAGAATTTCTGGAGTGAGTGCCTGAATTCAAGGATAACCCCATGGAAAAACTGGACATATAAAGGCAGTTCTTCACTAAATCAGATTACAGAATCAGAAGAGATGATGTGGGAAGAGATCACTCAGTCCAACCCACTGCCCAAAGCAGGGTCAGCTAGAGCAGGTTGCTCAGTATTCCAGCCATGAGGCTGAGCTTTCCAGGGCACAAATTAACAGATATATGCACCAGCCTGTTATTCCTTTATATCCAAGCAAAGGAAGTTTATCCTCTGTTTAAACACTAAATAAATTTTTAAACTAAGAATATTATCTGACCTATATCTGATAGGCCATCTATAGATTTGTAGTACCATGCATTTAAATAAAGAATCAATCAGGATAACTATGAACCATGCAAATCACCCTAAGTTTTCTTTTTACAGCTCAAAAAAGTAACACACACTCCAACGTTTCCAACACTATCAAAGATATGTGAATTTCTCTACTTACTTATCAGCTGTAATTTTTTTAGTATTTGCCAGCCAATACTGCATGCAAAATCATCTTTACAGATATTTTTCTCACATTTAATGTAGATAACACAAATACTTGTCTTTAGCTGACAGACTTTGGGATATAATAGAATTTTCCAGTAAATAGAGCTATTTTCTTATGGTGTCAGTAGGTGACACAGTTATCAAAGAAGCAGTCTTATTTTTTTGCATACTCTAAAAGAACACTGCCTGAGGGAATTTGCTCATGTTTAACAATAAATTGAAACACAAAATTTCATGGATGTCCATGTTGGTGTGCTCATGGCCCTAGAAATGAGTTAAAACCCCAACAAACTCTTACAAGTTTTAACTTCCACAGACAACCTAAGAGCATGCTCTGCAGAGCTCAAATCTCAAATGATGGAATAGATCTAAGGTCACAAACTGCTCTACAGGTCATTCAAAATGTGCTCCAGAGAAAGAAATAAAATTAGAAAACCCCAACCTTAAACAGGATCCCTAATTAACTACTAAAAATTAACTATATAAGGCTCTTTGAGGTACACCTACCTAGAAATAGGCTTTTAGCTTTGGGAGAAGTACACTATTGACTTACAGCTCCAAACAACTGACTGAACACCTTAAGACTCTGGAGAACAATCAGCTGCAAGTTGGAAAATCACTTTTGGTGAGTCACAAGAACAATCTAGTGGTTTTGTTAAAGGTCTTGGATAGGTAGGTTTAAGATTTTGTTTTAAAAACTCTATTAAGGAGTAAGTGAAGCTTTTACTAAGAAACTAGCTCTGAGGTGGGTTAGACTTTAAATATGAAACTCTCAGTGATGATTAGATAAGCACTAAATGATTCAGCTAACATTTTTAACAAAACAGCAAATCAAGAGCTTTACTCTCCCATTCATTTAATAATTTTCTTTTCCAATTCCACCTCTGTAAGCCAGAGGCTTTAGACTTTTTACTGCAGAATCAGAAAGAGCTTCAGAAGAGTAACTTTTGCCTACAGCAGAACCTAACCTCCTCACTAATTCAGTGGCCTGGGGAAGTGTACAGAGGAGGCCACAAGGTACTGCAGAGCAGGGAGGGGAAAACTACTTAGCTTCTGAAGTTAGGTGGAAGAATGACAAGATGTCTGGATGGTCCTGGTAGCCACTGAAGAGAGATTCTTTAGTTCCCCTATGCCTTAGGTGTTATTAAGAGGCTGTGCATATGATGACAATATGATTTGTCAGCCTGGACTTCACAGTAAACAGGAATTTTTCTAACTTCCATTACAAATTCCACCAGAAAGGGCTTCAATGATAACCCAAAGGACTGGGAGCCAGCAGCACCACAGACTAACTGCTACTAACTTAACATTGTTTTGTTACATCAGTAGTCCCACCAAAATGACTTAGAAAAGAACAATTTCCACTTGAACGTTTTCCAGACATTTAGGTAAAAGCAACTGACAAAAAGCTTTCAATATAACCTGGGACTCAGAAGGAAGTTGACAGGCAGAAGAGCTGCAGTGTTTGTTCTCACAAAGCTATCAGGTGAAGAGCACACCAACACTTAGTATGGGCTCCTCCATTCTCTGCTAGCACTTATGTGGGGTAGAAAGGAAAAAAAAAGCTATAAAATTGAAGGACAATACAACTAGTAACCCATTTTTAGGCAAGCTTTTTGTTTTAAGCTGGCCTGCCACTGAAAGAACTTTGCATTATGGCATTAAAATACCTTTTTTTCCCCCCCCTTCCCTGAACTTTAGAAATTTTATTTTCTGGGACTGCTACTAAAAAGTAACAGTTGCAAAAAGTAAAATTCCTGCAGTCCTGACAGAGGTGCCCAAGGCCAGCATTTAATGAGAACATAACTCTCCCTCTTGTAGAGAGGAAGAGAGAGAGAAAATAATTTCTTAAGCAAAAAAAATGCATATACAGGCTGGCTACATTTATATTCTTAACATCTAGGACCATGTTTGTGCATTTGTACAGCCTTTAACACTTCTTAAGTCCAGACATGTCTATTCTACAACCTTTCCTCAATCAGCTTTGTTTCTCTCAGCACCCTCCTCAGAACAAGTGGCAAAGCAGGTGACTATAGGTCAGACTGAACTTCAGAGGCACAAAAAAATTTCTTTTAAGGTATAAATATATCTCCCTTTCTAAAGATGACATCACTAAGCAGTCAGCTCATGGACTCAGGAGGCCACTGGCCTAGAAATGACAGTGATTCAGCCATTCTTCCCCAGCATTTTCTTCCTGTATGGAGATCTTCAAAGGAGTTTGCATTTCTTCCCAACAACTAAGCAGTCTAATGCTTTAAAATAATAAGGATACTTCATACCTACCAGTAGTAATTGGCCCACTTTCAAACAAAAGATACTTCCTAGACTTGTTTCCAAACCTCATGCAAGTCTGTTCTAACATCTGAACACACTGTTTTCTCTTTCACTAAGTGACAAAAATCTGGGGAGGTTCTTTGGGTCTAAAGGCTCTCTTCTGAAAGCTGGCTGGAGGAATACTCAGGAGAGAAGAGAGAAGCAAGAATTGAGTACAGAGACTTGAACCACAGCATAAAGCAGTGGCAGGATTCTGACAATGCCCCCCTGCCATCACAGAAAAGAATCAACTTCCCTTGGGAGGCTGCTGAAAAGAGAACTGTTCTCCTCATTAACTCTGCAGAAGAGACTTAAACAACACCAGCTTGCTTACTCTTACTCCTACTGAGGGAAAGGTTTGGCTTTGCAAATTGGACTTCAGAGGTTCCTGCACTCTAACAGCTTCAGAAGCCACTTCATGAATTAGAAGACATGTCAAAAAAAACAGTTAATTCATTACTTCCCACCACCTTACTAGAGAGAACAGAAGGAGTTCTCTAATCCAAATGGTCTATCCTCTAAATCTGCCTGGAACACCTTGAATAAATTCTAAAGCCTTCAAAAAGGCACTTGAGAGTAGAAGATGCCACTTAAATTTTAGCCAGTGAGAATTGTCTTTTCTCACTATAACCCAGCCAATTTACCTTCATCTCTATCTGTAGTCTGAAAAGTGATATTAAATTTCCTGTCATTAGTTTTCCTGCACATAACTTGTACTGACATCAGGACAAGCATGATACTTGATCTTTTAAGATTTTCCAAACCAAATAATTTATTTGCAGCTATAGATTAACTGTATCATTTACTTGGACAGCCAGAAGGCATTAACAAGGGAGGGGAAAAATATCTGGGTTTTCATTACTGGGCCAGAACAAGTAACAGCTTAAGGAACATGAAATTATATAAAATTTAAAACAGGCAGATTCTAGATTTTCAAGTTGGAGATCTGTTCCTTTCAAAATGGGAACCACAAGAAACAACAGCAGTCACAAGGGCCTTCTGCTGAAAAAACAAATAATTCCTTAAACTTGGCATAATCTTCAACAAATGACCACTTTGATCTTATTGTCTCATGTGGAGTCTTCACCTCTTTATATTGGGTCAAAACAGAAGAAAATTCAGCAAGCTTTGTAGGGGGGGGTTTCCTCACAGCTAATCCTTAGAGAATTTAGAGGGCTAGCTTTGACACAAACTCAACCTGTAAAAACTCAACTAAGTATGATCAATGGCTTTTAATCCTCTGAAGCAGGTGCAGAGACAAGCAAATTAGCTCAGAATTTTTAAATATTTTTAAATTATATTTTTTAACATAACCTTAAACATTTTCACACGTGAACTCACCAGGCAATTGGCTGAATGGGATTAAGACACAACCACTTTCATCCATCATTAATATCATCAATGTCAGAAATGAGATTTCATTCCTGAGTTGATAAAGTTTCATAAAGCTCACCAAGACTACTTTAGAGAATTCTATGAAATGCTACATTAAAAGCATTACACAACAGCCTGCTCTATAATACACGTGTTTAACAGATATTTCAAGTCTCAGTTACATTAAAGAGAGTATGCAGTCAACTACAATCAAAGTTAAACCAAAAAAGTGCCCGTGATCTAAGGATCATTATTCCAGACCTGTTGTGAATCAGTGAAAAGGAGAGTAGCAAAGGACATACCTTGGAACTGCTCCCAAAACAATCAAGTTGGCTTTTTGTTTGTTGTTTCCAATTACAGCATTTTTCATATCTCTGTAAATCCAGAAAGAAAAACAAACCCTGGTAAATTATGCTGAGGTACTGAGGGCTTAATCTATAGAATTAATTATTCCACAAAGGCTTATCAAGTATTCTTCCACGTGTCCATGCTGCACCTACAGAACTCAGTAGTGCTCCAGGGCACAGTTTCCACAGCCCACAGACAAATACCCCAGAGCTTTGGGATTCCATCACATCCCAGCTTATGTGAGTAAGCAAAAACCCAAACTATCTCAACATGCACACCAGACATGAAGAAGTCTCATTACTGAGGAAAATCAGATATACTTGGTCATTGTACCCATATTTTCACTAGTCTTCTAAAAGAAAAAACACAAAAAAAAACCCCTGTTGGTTGGGAAGTTAAATGTTGGTAATGTGGTAATTTAAAGTGTTAACTGAATATCCTACTGGGTGCAGGAAAAAACAAGCTGGGGAAAAAAAAGGGGAATTAAAAAAACAAAACAAAACAACAGAACAAGAAGAAGAAGGAACCATCAGCAGTGTGCACAGACCAGGCTGTCACTCTCCTCTTCACCATAGGCTTCCTTTTGTGAATTTCAGCACAACAGGTAAACATTTGGGTGCCAAAATCCCAGGACTGAAGTGGAAATAAAAGCCTTTTCCTGGCTGAGAGTTACTGCAAGGTTAATTACATTAAAAGCACTCATACTATGGTAAAGGAACAAGGGAAGCGTTTTGGAAAGAGGACACTGGTTGTACACACTAAGAAGAAAAAGTGTCAACACTTGTTCAGAAAATCACTACTGTATCCTAAAAACCACCACCACCTTTTAAGATTGTTTTTTTCTTCCTATGAACATCTATGAAGATGCAGAGAATATGAAAGAAAGCCAGGAACTTATGAGCAGTTTCAGAAAAATCAAGATGACATTTCTAGGAAAACTTCCTAATTGTAATTGTAAGGAAATTTCTAAGAAAAGAGGAAAAAAAAAAATCCACTAGTCCAAAAATCAGACAACTATTTATCAGCAACACCACCTAGATTAATTAATGTGTTAGTAGCTGCAAAACTGATAAATTAATCAGTCACTGGCTATGTCCATAATTCATGCAAATAATTTGGGAGTTTTAGCAGTTGCTTGAAGTTAGCATATTTTCATGCCACTATATCACTCTCTCAATTGCTACCTGCCTATTTTAAGAGGCTTAAGAGTAGCCCTGTTCTTTAAGCTCCCTGCTGGGCTGCATCAACACCACACAGTCCTTATGTACACAGAGAACAGGCAAATTCCACTGCAAGAAGCAAGTTCTCCCAACTGTTAAACTCACTTCATTAGAGCTAAACAAAAATTCTTAGCTAAGGCAGGCAGTATCTGGACTGGCATAAACAGAACCTTTATAAACCCCAATTAGTAAAAGGTAATTGCCCATTCTTCCTGAAGTATTTCTCCATGTGACTCACTCTCCTGTATTACCTGGGCACAGGAGAGTGCTCTAGGAATTTTAAGCAAGTGGAGGCAGTCAAACTTCTCAAGTTTGGCTTGTGATCTTGGAGCTCCAACAAAGGAGTAGCATGAAAAGCAGCTTAATGCTGAACTGCACTTCTGGGTACCTCTTGACACCAGCAGGGTCAGAAAACCACTTGGGATGTTACGTGAGCCAGCACTGCACAGGAATCTGCCTACCCAGCACACAGCTTCACACAGCTGAGCAGCAGCAGAAAACGTTGGACCTTTCTGTTACATCTCCCCTAATTTTGGGAACTTTACACTGCAAGACAGAAGGTAGAGGAAAAAGAGTAAGATCAGAATACAAGCTAAGCTGGAAGCCCAAGAAAATGAAAGGAAAAGCAAATGTCACTAAACCCAGAAAGAGCACTTCAGTAGTTTGGATGCTGAGCGCTTGATAGGAAAGGATCCCGGTTATTTTGAAAGGTTTTTTAAAACACAAGAGTCAGTCCAAAACAGTGGCAGAAGCAACAATCAGACGTCTCCAAGGAATGGAAATTGCACCAACAGATGTGCTAGGTTCAGGTGCTAAATTGCTCTGGCCACTCTAGGGCTTCTAAACAAGCCACCTCTCCCTGTCATCCACAGGCACCAGAAAGGCTGCACCCTGCCACGTGTCCGTGGAGGCACCTCGAGAAGCTAAAGAGAAGGCACTTGCCAAGCACTCTGGGGAATTAAACAGATTTTGGTGATATCTTAATGCTCTGATTGGGTGATTTTACACATTATTCTATGTAAAAAAAAATCACCAACAACAAGCTTTTGGGACTCCTGCACCAACTCTGCAATAGAAAGGTTTGTATTGATTATTAGATTCTGGTTTCAGAAGTGGCAGGAACGTGGCCGAGTTCCCCAATACTCAAATTGAGAGGTTTAGTGAGGCCACAGCCCTGATTTGTAAATTATTCAGATGAGTTTCTCCATCCTTCTTCACAAGTTATTAAAAAAAGTCATGGCAGAGACAAGAAACATCACAAGCTGGACATTTTTGACAAACCCAACATTCAACCACTTCAACTTGCAAGTAAGTAAAATAACTTTAGATTGATACTATGACAAAAACTGAAAAAAATATTATATGATTCCACATTACATTTTATGGGGATTTTCCTGATCAGGAAGCTCATCTCCTTAAGAAGCAAAGAAGTCCCATGTGTTATCCTAGTCTACCAGGTCCTTGGTGAATCATGAACCTTGGAAAAACTGAGGGAAACTCCCTTATTTGAAAACTCCTCCAACAAGTTTGAGCTTGACTGATTTCAGATCCAAGATGACATGAGATTCATGCAGGGAGAAAAAGCAGTAAAGATCATTATCTTCCACAAAAGGTAACAAAGAAACCTCATAAATGTGTAGACCAAAACTGGATATCCACTTTATTTCCAAATGTCATATCCACTGCTCCCATTTCCTACTGTGAAAAGGAGTCCCTGAAACCAGGAAGAAGGAAAAGCACAATTTCAAAGAGATGAGAACTTCAAAAGAACAACTAGTCTATGGTGATTCTAGGCCTCATCTGTGAGAAGAGCATGATCCAGAAGCAGGAGACCCACAGGCTTTCCAATGACCACCTCCAAGCCCTCAGGTAGATTGACACCCAGCTCCAGGTGACAGCACAGTGTGAGCAGGAAAATGCAGATCTTACACACATACTGAGCACCCTCCATCACTACTTAGTTCCTCAGCCTCTTAACAGTAGAATTCTATAGAGCCAAAGGACAAACCATGAAGCTTTCCTGTGTCAGAGGTCTTAAGATGCATTTGAGGGCTTGGCTGGGTTTGGGTTTTCTGTTGCTGTTGGGTTTTGGTGGGTTTGTTGTGTTTTTATAGCCTGTGTATTAAATCTTATAGTTTAGATCCAAACTAAATTCAAAGTCATTTAACAAAACCTGAATTAAAATTATTTTTATGCTTAAATTTAAAATCTGATAGCTGATATTTATGCCTCCATTTACTGTAATGCAGTAATTTATGGGAAGAAATTTTCAAGCAGGATAATATAGGCTGCCAAGAACAAAAAAAAAGGCAAAGAGATTCTAGCTAAGCACTTGGAAATATTGCTTCCTGAAGTGCTAAATCAGCTTTTTCCCATCTCCTATTGCTTCTTAAAGAAACAAGAATATAGTTTCATCAGTTCAGTCCTGTGACTACTGAGTTTTAAGTTCTGAAACTAACCAGGCATTGGAAAAGCAGAAATGCTTATTTTCTTCCTTTAAACTCCAGAAGAGGGTGAACAAACTGTCAGGTGAGGTTTATCAGTTCTAACAATGTTTTGGAACATAGCAACACAAGCAATCAGTTCAATTGATTAGCTATAAATAAAATGTGATGTATGCCAGTTTCTTTATGAGTGTTTAAAACAAAGTATTTTAGGAATATATTAAACATCCCTTCCAAAAAAAAAAACTGATTTCCATCCAAATGCAGCTTAACAAGAATTGCAAGAGGAACTCATCTGCCAATTGTGTCTGAAGTTCCTATGGTTTTGTTCTAATGCTTAATGTGTTATTCCTTAAAAGCAGATGTAGCCCACTCCAGATAAGCAAGAAGCTACATTAAATACAATTTTTGAGTAAAATATGGCCTTTAAGTTTTAATGATTCTTAGCCAATAAACACTAAGAAATGTCTATGTCCTGAGAAAATTAGCACTCTACTCTGTCAATGTAAATTATTATTGTAGAAGCAACTTAGGGTGCTGAACTTTGTCCCAAGCAGAAATTATTGAAGTCCAGCATCTTCATCAAGCTAATTCTAAGTTTGTTCCTATGGCTTTGTTTTAATGCTTAATGTGTTGTTCCTTAAAAGCAGATGTAGCCCACTTCAGATAAGCAAGAAGCAATATTAAATACAATTTGAGTAAAATATGGCCTTTAAGTTTTAATGACTCTTAGCCAATAAACACTAATACTAAGAAATGTCTATGTCCTGAGAAAATTAGCACTCTACTCTGTCAATGTAAATTATTATTGTAGAAGCAACTTAAGGTGCTGAACTTTGTCCCAAGCAGAAATTATTGAAGTCCAGCATCTTCATCAAGCTAATTCTAAGTTTGGGGCTCCTCATACAAAACTCTCAGAAGTGTCCAGCTGTTAGTGTGCACTTCTCTGCACTGGTGTGAGCCAGCTTCCCAGCTGAGAAAGAAGAGACCTCTGATCTTCCCCAGCAAGCCCAGACACTTGCACTCCTTCTACAAAGGGGATGACGAGAGAGCAAAATGGATACACAGACCCCTCAATGAGAATTTGGGTTTTCCTAGGTTTTTAAGTACAGTAGATCAAGCACAAATGGAAGAAATTTTAAAATCCTGATAGGAAGCCCTGGAGCTTTCCTGTGTCTCCTTCTAGCAAAGCAACACAAAAGATCTTGAAAGAAGCTAGAGCGACCTGATGAGGAAGCAGCAACAGGAACTGTACAGAAGAGGAGGAAATAAACAGCCTGCCTGAGGTTTTCTCATCTTATGTCTTTTGAAAGCAGAGGAGGTACCATAATTAAGAGGTTCCTAGACAGAGAAGGATATAAA